GGCATATGTATTGTTACGTATATTTCCAAGCACAATACAATCAACAGGTGATTAGAAGAGTGCATTTCATGTTGTGTACGTGCTGTTGTTGAGTGTCCTCAGTTCAGTTGGGACTCATTGTGACCCTACATAACAGTAGACTTTCTCCGGTCATCTTCATGGAAGGGGGTTCGAACCACCAACGTTTTCATTACTAGCCCAGCACTTAACTGTTTCACCAGGTGCCTTTATAGATAGTTTACCACAATGTATTAATAAAACTAACTTAGCTGTCTCTCCATGTCACAGCTGAAGAAACTGAGGTACAGAGACTTAAACAACTTGCCCCAGTTTATTGTTATGAAAAGATAGAACTGAGCTTCATCTCTGGGGGCGAGTGACTTCTCCGTTCTCTCTCCCTCCCTCCCTCCTGCTCTCTACCGTCATGCCCCTTCCTTTCCTCCTCCTCTCTTTCCTGAAAGAGCCCTGGTGGCACAGTGGTTAAGGATTAGGCTGCTCGTTGAAAGGTCAGTGATGTGAACCACTAACTGCTCTGTGGGAGAAGCATGTGGCAGTCAATTTACAGCCTTGGAATCACGATGGGGCATGAAGCCATCTTGTAGCAAAATAACAGATTGAATTTAAAAAATTAATGACTATTACTCGTAAGTACTGTGTTTCTTTAAAAAATCACCCTATGAGACCAAACAGTCACAGTGACTTGAAGACAAAGGTGAGAATATGAAGGGGCAGGGAAACTAGACTGATGGACATGGAACAACCAGAAAGGAAATACTGAGACTAGTCATGACTATTCATGCTTTGTGAAGAATGTGGCCAAGGCCACTGAACAATTTGTGTAGCAATTGTTGTGGGAACCTAAACTGCTGTGCAAACCTTCACTGAAAACTCAGTGACAGATCAGAAAAAAGAAAAAAAGTACAGTGCTCAAAGCTTGGAGGTGTTGCTGGGTGTCTCACTCACCTGCCACCTCCAGCTGCACGGATTGACTGCAGTCCAACCAGGATACCTGCCTGTTGCACCGACAGCAGTACCTTCCCACAGTGCCCGGTGTCACGGATGAGGTGGTAAAATTCACCCCACTCCGTGGACTTGCTGGCGACTTTCGGTGTCTGAACTGAGAGCTTCCTTCTTTCTCCAGACGCCACAGGTCCACCTCGTGAGGTGCCTGGCACTCAATGGTC